GAAATGGAAAACAGAGTATCAAGACTGGAGTATATAGTGGATGAACTAGACCACTCAAGCAAAGATTATGAAAAATATAAGAAATCACAAGAATGAAATATGCAGGATTTGTTTCACACCATAAAAAGACCAAACTTACAAATCATAGGCCTACAGGAAGGAGAAGAATCTCAAGATAATGGTATGGATGAGATCTTCAACCAGATTGTAGAAGAAAATTTCCCAAAATTAAAGACATGCCCATACAAACACAAGAAGCATATAGAAAAATTAATATACAAAATTAATCCACAAAAGTCTGTAGTCTTTCTATATACCAATAAAAAGCAATCAGAGAAACAGTGCATGGAAACACTCCCCTTCACAATAGCTGCAAAAAATAAAATAAAATATCTTGGAATAAACCTGACCAAAGGCATTAAAGACCTCTACAATGAAATTTTTAACTCTTTAAAGAAAGAAATTGAGGAAGATATCAGAAGATGGAAGGACCGAGAACTAAGAGCAATGCTGGGGGGATTACTATACCAGATTTTAAGCTCTACTACAGAGCTATAGTCATAAAAACAATATGGTACTGGCACAAAAATAGACCCATAGACCAATGGAACAAAATTGAAGACCCAAATATGAGTAATTGCAATTTTAGCCACCTGATATTTGAAAAAGGGGCCAAGAACATTAACTGGAGGAAAGACAGCATGTTTAGCAAATGGTGCCGGCAGAACTGGATCTCCACCTGTAGAAAATTGAAACTAAACCCCTATCTTTCACCTTGCATAAAAGTCTACTCCAAATGGATCAAAGACCTCAGTATGAAGCCTGAAACTCTGAAACTGTTAGAAGAAAACATTGGCAATAACCTACACAAAGACCTCAATGTGAAGAGTGAAACTCTGAAACAGTTAGAAGAAAACATTGGCAATAACCTACAAGATATAGGTGTAGGAAAGGATTTTCTAAACCGGACATCAATTGTTCAGGAAACAAGGTCAAGAATCAACAAATGGCACCTCATTAAACTAAAAGGCTTCTGTACATCAAAAGAAGCAACCAAGGAAGTAAAGAGAAAACCCACAGAATGGGAGAAAAATCTTCACCAGTGACACATCTGACAATGGTTTAACATCCAGAATATAAAACAAACTCAAAAAACAAAGAATCAAGAAAGGAAGTAACCCAATTAAAAGATGGGCTAAGGAACTGAACAGAGAGTTCTCAAAAGAAGCAAAAAATGGATAAGAAGCATCTTAAAAGATCTTCGACATCACTAGTAATTAGGGAAATGCAAATTAAATCCACTTTAAGATTTCATCTTACCCCAGTCAGACTGGCTAAGATCAAGAGAACAAATGATACCAAATGTTGGAGAGGATGTGGGGAAAGGGGAACACTCATCCACTGCTGGTGGGACTGCATACTTGTTCAACCCCTATGGAAAGCAGTGTGGAGAACTCTTTAAAAACTACAAATGAACCTACCATTTGACCCAGTTATACCACTCCTTGGAATATATCCAAAGAACTCATCCTGTTGCAGAGACATTTGTACATCCATGTTTGTTGCTGCTCTTTTCACAATAGCTAAGTGATGGAAGCAACCTAAGTGTCCCTCAACTGACTAGTACATAATGAAAATGTGGTCCATTTATACGATAGAGTTTTACTCAGGAGTAAAGCAAGATGAAATCATGAAATTTTCAGGTAAATGGATGGAACTAGAAACTGTTTTACTAAGTGAAGTAACACAGATTCAGAAAAAAAAATCAACATACGTTCTCCCTCGTATGTGGATCCTGGAACCAAACCCTGATAAGTGAATATGTATCCAGACATAACCACAGGAACCAGGATAATGAAAAGGAACCAGGGAGGTAAAGAAAAGAAAGAATCTGAAAGAGCACAGTAGGCGTTAATAAGGGAGATATGGATAAAATGGGGTTATTTTAGTGATGGGGGGGAAAGGTTATACAAGGAACCTAGGGGATAAAGGGAAAGAAGGAGCTCAAGAGAGGTGGGACCATAGGAGAAGGGTATTACTAAGGGGGAAATATGAAAAATGGGGGCACCTTAAATGGGGAAACCATGGTGGAAGGGTTAGACAATGTGAGAGATAAATAATACCTAGCTAGTTTTAAAAAAACAGAGGGAACCATATTAGTTAAACAACCTACTGACAAATTGCATGTACAACTAAATCAAGGACTATAATATATGTCTAGGTAAAGTTTATCTGAGATTGTTTGTTCTTTGTCCAGGCTTTATCTACATGGCACATCGTTATTAAAAGTACAAGACTGGTGGAACTAACCTTCTTGGATGTTTAACAACCATACTTTGAGGCCTATACTAATTTGGTCAGAGGAACATAAAGGACAGTCTTTGCTCCTTGCCCTCCTAAGTCGACTAAGTTCCAGGGACTATGAACATATCTCAAAATGTCCTGTAACTGTGGTGCATCACCTGTCCTCTTGATCAAGGAGGCCATGAAGACCCCACCAGATGGACTTGAACCAGTATCCAGTCTACAAAGAGGAGAGTCAACACAGAGGAAACATTTCCTCCATGCTTCCAAGAGAAGCCAGCCATAGTCGAGTAGGACTTTGACTTACCTTCACATAGATGGAACTGGTAAAAGAAAGGAGCCAGGGGCTCCTCTCAAGTCCATATGACCCCTGAGGAACAGATCCTTAAATGGCCTTAAGAGTAAAAATAAATTGGTTTATCTAGGCCAACTGTAAGGTCTTAAACACCCAAAAGGAAAGTATAACCAAAGATTAAAGGGGTCAATATAATTTTTTAAGAGTCTATATGTATAGCTAAAGGCTACATAACACAAAACAATGCCAGACAGGAGATACCATCCTTTTGATGGCCAGAGTGGCCCAAGAGACTCCCAGACAGAAACCCAGCATAGAACTGGGAAAATAAACGGTAGACCCCAATCTTAGCTAAAGGAATATTGACAACTGATTGCTGCTAGAATAGGAACAGCTGATTTTCCTAAAACAAGCATCTCTAGATAGGCTGACTAGGTTCGGCAGATGGACAAGCACTGGGGAACAGCTGGGGTGCCAACAGCCCTGTGGACAGTAACATGGATGATAGCGTACATGGGCTCCAGTGGGGGGATGGGGAGGCTATGAGAGGGTGCCATTTGGGAAGTGGGCATGTAGATGAATAAGATTGTTTGGGATATGTATAATATACACACTAAAAAAATTCAACAAAAAATGAGTTATATTTGAGGAGGAAGCATAAATATTTACTTCATATTAATTAGTAGAGGTAATAAACATTACCACTGAAATCTACCTGATGACTTTATATCCATACTCAGGTGCCAAGGATCCGAATGTAATTGACTGTGACTAGTAATAATCAGATACCCAGAAATTAGAGACACATGTGCAAACATCTAAGCATTAGTAGCATTAAAAATGAGTCTTTCTGTAGGAAACAGTATATTTTAAAATGAAATGGAGATCTTTTTTAAAGGTTAAAAATTCATTTAATTTTATGTCTTACAGGGCATATACTGAGTTAGATATTGTATAACTGTATTAATTTACAGCCACTTTTGAACGAGATGTAGCTTTGGTCTAGAAATTGTTATTGGATATATTAAAGCAGAAATGAAATGCTTCTTCTAATCTTGTAGTTATTAAATAAATAAATTAACAAAAAAATACATTGTGGATTTTACCTCATCTCAGGCGAAGGTGGCATCTTCATGCTGGGGTTCTGATCCTAATTCCTGAGTATGAGTAAAACTGGCTAGTGATGATGGGAAGAAAGGCCTCAAGACAGATAATTTAGAGAGGAAGACCTGGGACATGTTAGGGATTAGTTGCCTCTTTTCTGCCTTTCCTTTGCATTATATAGAAAGATTCAGCAATAGAACAACTATGGCTCAGAGGTTAAGAACACTTGCTGTTCTTGCAGAAGACCTGGGTTCAAATCCCAACACCCACATGACAGCTAACAACTGTCCATAACTCCAGTTCCAGGGGATCCAATATCCTCTTCTGTCTTCCACGGACTTTGCATGACACGGGTACACATACGTACATTCAGGCACATAAAATTAAAAAAAAATTTTTTTAAAGAGACCAACTGTGGCTCAGGGATGTCTTCTTTGATGCTTTTACCTTCAGACTAAGGAAAACTAAAGTTACTGAAGTTTTCTAAGAAGGTGCTAGTCATGCTTACCAAGTCTATTTAGGGTGACTGACCTGGGATGGAGGACCATTTACAGGCTGATGGTAGAGAGAGATATAGTCCAAGTAAAAAATGAGGCCTGAAACTAAGTAGGGATTGGTAGTGGATTTGCAAGGTATGTGGACTAAATGACTCTTTTCCCTTTAAAATCTAAGACTCTCTTGAGGCGCCCATCCTAGTTGACATGATGTCATCAGTAAGAATAAGAAAGCTAAGAAAGGAGGAATTTGATGAAGCATAGAGACAAGATGTTGATCATGTAAAAGTCCTGCTCATTTAGGAGAGTATAGCAAGGCCTGCAGGTCTGGAGTCAAGTTAAATAGTTTGGGCTTTCTAAACCCAGCAGTCTGAACTTTGTCCCTAGTCAACAGCTGGATCTCTGTTTTTCTAAGCTGTTGATGCTAAAGAGCACACATAATTTATTCAAAAGCATTTAGGGAGTTACCTTGGTGTTTCAATCATGCAGTGCCTTGTCAAAACTATATACCAGCTACCCTACAGATACAATTTCTAAAATACAATTTATTAATAAATTTACTTTCTTTAAAATTGTTTAAAATACTTAAGTAATATAAGCATATAATACTTTTGAAATGTTAAATGAAGGATTTGATTTTATTTAGTTGAATTAATGATTTATGAGTAAAACTTCCTTGAAAATTGTTCAAAATACTTAAGAAATATGAGCACAATAATTTTGAAATGTTAAATGCAAGATTTGTTTTTATTTTATTTAGTTGAATTAAATGAAGAAAAGCACAAAGAACTAATAGCAAAAAAGGAGCTGGAAATATCAGAGTTAAATGCAAAGTTAAGAACTCAAGAAAAGGAAAATAGAAATGAGATCATGAAGCTACATCTAGAAGTAGGTATTTAAGAATCTGCTAACCCTCAACACATTCCTTAGTCTAAACAATGCTGTGATTTTTTTTTCTTACCACCATGAGATAAATTTCAGGACTAGAAACAATCCTGTGAGAACTTCACATGAGCATTCTTGAACAAAGGCAATGCCCAGTCAGCATGCACCTGCTGGCCATATGCCTCTCAGCACTTGACCTGAAGAAGGGTATCACTTTAGGAAGGATTTCATTTCCTCTGAGAAGGAGGACAGTAGCTGGAGTTGCTTGCATTTTATGCTCTGCCTCAAGCCGCCATCCCAGCAAGGGGAGAGTACATCAAATCCTCAGTTTTTCTGTCTCCCCAGCAGAAATTGTGGAACCCTTTTGTTTTATTTGGGATGAAAAGAAACAAAGTTTTCTGTGATAAATATACACTATCAAGACCAACAAAATTCCTTTAAAAACTTTTAGAGGTACTTCAAATAAGTTTATCTCATAAATTAAGGCTCCAGTTCTTTAGTCTTTTCAGTGAACTCTTCAGTGTCAGAACCTACTGTGCTTTAACAGAGTATTTGTCTTCCACATTTTCTTCTAGGTTCTACAAAGTGCTCTTTACATCATTCTTCCTTGGCTTCCACCCACCTCCACTCCCACTTTACATTATATTTTAAACATTCTCAGATCTTAATTAAAATACGTTACTAGTTATTTCTCAGAAACTTTGCTATGCCTAGGGTGCTTGATGAGGTGCTGTGTTTAATGATTATGGGGCAAAAAAGGTTTATGTTACTTCAATGGTTTTTTCCTACTGCAGCTGCTGCTGGTGATGGTACTCCCTCTGCCTCCCACCCATGTGTGTTCATAAACCATAAATAGAGAGGGTTGGATGGCCAATTGACATATAACAGAGCATATTTCGAGATCTACCACCAGCTTCTAATCTACTTAGGAATTTGCATTTTGTTTGCTCTCTGGGCCATGTCACTGTCTAGTATGATTCTGTTATTTGACTAGTACCCAGATTGCTTATGTCTACTTTAAAAAAAGTTTTATGTGTGTGAGCATTATGCTTGCATGTATGTAAGTGCATCCATGCCATGCAATGCCCACAGAGGACAGAAGAAGGTGTCAGATCCCCTAAAACTGGAGTTACGGATGGTTGTTGGCCAGCATGTAGGTGCTGGGATTAGAACAGCCAGTGCTCTTAACTGCTGAGCCATCTCTCTGGCCCCCTTATGTCTATTTTTATAACTATCCATTCCTCTCCTCAAACCATAACACAGTGTCATGGAAATCTTAGTCTTCTGAGAAGCTACACTAAAGTAGATATAAAAAGAATTATAGGCCGGGCATGGTGGCATATGCCTTTAATCCCAGCATTTGGGAGGCAGAGGCAGGCGGATCTTTGTGAGTTCGAGGCCAGCCTGGTCTACATAGTGAGTTTGTCTACATAGTGAGTTCCAAGACAGCTGCCCTGTCTCAAAAAGACAAAAATAAACAAAAGAAGAATTATAATGAAATAGTGTAGGGAAAGTGGCTTGTCAGAATGAACTGTAGGAATCGTTTGGTTTCATTCAATTTAATTCAAACCAGAAAGAAAAAAAACCTAATCAACATCCAAATTCTAATATTTGATCTCAAAATTTCTACAGCAGAATATATGAGCTTTTCTCCTATGACTATTGATTACACTACATTTTCTTGACAAAAGTACACCCATTGTAATGTGAAAATATTTTTTAGCTTGGTGGTCAAGCATCTGAGTAGCTTGGTGGAAGGTGTAGAGAAGCAAAAAAAGGGCAAAGATATTTTGAGAAAAAAGATTATGCTACCTATATGCCCCAGAGTGTGTAGGGAAATGCCCAGGCAGTTCGTACTTTGGGCTCCCAATGTAATTTAACAAGTCTCATCTTATTTGGATGTTCTTTGTTCTTTCTTTAGATGGTTTCCTAAAGACTATTTTTTATCATTTGTTATACAAAGAGTGCAGTACAATTACAAAATATGTTAGAATATTTCAGACTTGTATCCTTAGAAAAATTCTAATTATTAAACTACAGCATTCTTAGTAATTTTCTTTTTAATTTGGATTCAGTTTGATGCCAAACTATCAAGAGTTCAGACTAAATCAAAATCATATCCAGATGCTACTATTTTGCCACAGAGTATCTACAGACGGGTATGTGACTATAACTTAAGAAAACTAATTTTCTTAGTATGTTTATATAAAATTAACATTTATTTAAAATACATTAAACCATTTTACATCTTTAAACCAGTGTTTTTCTCTAAATCATACAAAAGCAAGATTTATAGGCCTTTCAAAATAAAGTATCTTTTAAAATACAAGCTTAAACCAGAAGTGTATTTTTATTGTTATTTTGCCATTCCTTATTTCTAAATGCAGTGACTTTTTTTCTGCTTCATTTAGAAACTTCAACATCTTCAAGAAGAAAAGAGTAAGGAGATTGCAAGTCTTCAGAATACAATTCGTGAGTTAGAGCAACGCCTTGCTGCTGCTGTCAAAGACACTCACCTTAAACATAGACGGTTTTGAGCAGACCAGTAAATGTATTAGTAAATTTAATTTCTTTAAAAGCAGCTAAAAATTCACTTCTATTTTCAATGTAAGAATCCTAAATAATAAAAAAGACACAGCCTTAAGTTTTTTTAAATTGCATTTATTCAGATAAATCCATACCATACCCAGTTCTGTACTTCATTCTTGTGGAATGACATTAGCCATAACGAGTTCAGGTTCATAAGTTTAGTTTCCCTATTAAACCATCATTGACTATGGAAATACATCCCTACACAGTATGCAGATTAACAACATGCTTTTCTTCCATTTCATCTTTCAAGACACAATTCAGAAGAGCAATACAATGCTAGATAAAGATACAAAGATATATGGTAGTGAAAGTAAAGATGAGTCTTAGATATAAAAAAGATAAGTAGATATTAAAAATGTGGTCATGTAGTTTTTTGCAAAATAAGTACTTCTGGATCTTAGATTTTAGAGATTTAATCTGTTAAAAATATAGGATTATAAAAGGCAAAGATCCTATATTTTAAAAGATAAGAAAAAACTGGAAAATACGTCTTTGTCATTCTTCCTCCATTCTGAATTACTAGCTATCCAACAGAAACCCCTAGGTCATAGTTTACGTTTCTGTTCTCATCAATGTAAATAGAATACTGGAAAAAGAAAAAGAAAGACACATTAACCAAATGCTGCAATCACTTTTCAGGTGCCCCATAATAAAAATATGATTTGGGTCAAAATTTTTGTGGCATTAAATTTTAAATTTAGAAGCCAATTCAGTAGATTTCTCCATGTTTATACAAATCCAATTCCTACTTTTAGTTCAGATTAATTAGGTGGGTTGTAAAAATGCTCAAAATGAAACTGTCTATAGACTGATTTAGGGTGTTTACATTTGAGTTCTCAAATTTTTAGTTTAAATATTTAGTTTGAACGTCATTTTCACTTTTTGGTCCTATTATTTCAGCTTCAGTTGGGGCTGACTTCTGTGGGGCTCAGTTGCTGGCTTTGTCAGGCAGCTGGTGGTGATCGGCACTGACAAGATTCAATCACTTTCTCCTCCGCAAACAGTCCCTGTCAGCTACATAAAGATGGGAGGCTTTCGGCACACTGTCAGGTGATTGCAGACCCTGATCTTTCAAATATGAGGTGTCGACAATGGCAGCAACAGCTACTAGTAGCTGTGCCAGACTCCTTAGACAACTTACACAGTAATTGGTTTATGCATCCCTTTCGTCAGAGCTTCCTTTGTGCAAGTGAAAGTTGTAAACCTTCACTCCCTGCCATTTCTCAGCTCTCAGAGTGACCCTGACTCACAAGCTTATGGTGGTGATGAAGGCCTAAAGGATGGGTGTGTGTAGGAGTATCTGGATCTCCTGGTTGCTGATTCTCTGAAAGCTTGCTGCTCCCAAGATGCTGATGCCCATGTTTGTGATGGTGCTTATAATGGTAATGTGGCTTTGGAGTCTCAGTGGCTTTACCCTCAGGATCTGAGGATACATTTTGACAGAAGTCTTCATCTTTCAGGGTCTGGAAAAAATTTATAATCACTTATTAATAATCTTATAGATTGACCAGGAATGCATGAAAACCCTACTTGTAGAACCCAACATGTATAGAATTCCAACTGGCTCATTAGGATACAGCTGGCTTTGTGTTTTTAGCATATTAATAGAAAAGAGCCTGGTCTTAGTCACAACTCCTACACTTTTTATTAAAGCTCTAAAGAAGTCAAACTACTATATTTTTTCAAGATCAACTTTATTATTTTATTTATTATTTTTATTTTATGTGTATATGTGTGTTGCCTGCATGTAGGTAGGTGCACCCGAGTGGTGCAATGCCCACAGAGATCAGAAGAGGGCATTGGATCCCCTGTAACTAGAGTTAGGACAATTGTTAGCTGCCATGTGGGTGCTGGGAATCAAATTGAGTCCTCTGCAAGAGCAGTCAGCACTCTTAACCACTGAGCCATCTCTCCAGCCCCCCAAACTACTATATTTATATCTGCAGAAGCAAAAACTAAGCAAACTGGCTAAAGAACTTATATTGTAGTGAAGTCAACCAAATATCAAATCCTAAAATCAGTTGTTCTACATGTAACCTTTCACACCTGTGTCAATAATGCATCTAATCTAATCCTGTTTTCTAAAGCAAAATGGCTTCTAATAACTCAAAAATACCAGTAAAGTCACTTGAGAGTTGATAGCTTTTCATCTTTCAACATACATGAGAAAATGTTTTGAACTTTGCCAAACCTTTGGTAACATGTCTCTACATAATTCTGTCAGGTGAAAATAGCAAATTAGCAGCCTCTCATTGACCATAATCTTCCATTCTGCATGACTAGTTCTTTAATTCCCTGAAAGTCTTCATGTTCTGTGATACCTACAAGCATAGTCTCAAGACCTATAGAAACAGCAGCATAATGTGAAACTTCAGCCTAATGTTGATTTGTAAATAAATTAGTCAATTTAAGAACTCAAAGACTCATTATGTGGCATGACAATATTTTGAAGGTTTTGAAGAGGTAAATTCCACTGTATTTTTAGCATAAGGGAAACATTTTCTACTTATTAATTCTCAGTGAGAATTTAGTATTTTATTATAAAATTATAAACAATTTGATATTTAAAATAAATGTTCAATAATTTATCAAGTAGCTCTAGTAGCAATCTAATTAATTTCACAAAATCTATTATTGGGCTGATGAGATGACTCTGCAAGTAAAAGTACTTGCCAACAAGCCTGACCTGCATTTCATCCCGGGGACCCACAAGCAAAAGGAAGAAAACTGACTCCTACAAGTCATTCTGACCATCACATGGCGTGCCATGGCAGGCATGCGCAGACACACAAGAGTAAATGAGTGCAATAAAAAAGTAAAACCTATTACTGTGTTTCATTGATTCTGTGGCACATATTTTTTTCTACATTTTACTAATTCTAAAATTAGAGTGCATCCTATTTATTACTGATAGTGTTTTAAACTTCTATCCTACTTTAATTGGCAGCAGTTATTTTCTTAGTAGAACATCAAATAATGTCTACTATAACTGATATCATATAGGAGATAGCAAAATAGAAAAGCTCTGATTTGATTTGGCATATGAGATACCTTCAGTATATTATGTTTATTAACAAGTAGTTCATAAGTTTTAAGATACTACAGGAGTGGTTTTTTACTTTTTTCAATATAGCTGGGTCTATTTATAACAGGAATTTACACAAATGCAAAGCCAGAAATAATCCAAAATATGAAAAATCAGTTTACGTGGCCTTTATTAGTGTAGGATTGATATTAAGTAGCTCTCTGGTCTCAATTCCCTGGCAGGTAGCACTATAGATAAACTTTGCTATCACTGCTCTGAACAGGCTCAAGTACTACAATAATATTGCTTCATATGTTACCTAAATCCTTTGAGCACTTATTCTCCTGCAGTAACATCTGCAAGTAATCGGAATAGTGCTCTACACTCATTTATTTTTAAAGCTCTTCTAGATATGGATCTTGAAGATAATGCTTTGAAGTATGTATTACACAACAAAATGTAAACAGCAAAAATATTTGTTCTGTTACTGATGATGAAGCACTTATTTAGATTTTTAATGTTGTTTTTTTCCCTTTTCTCCCCATAAAAACAATTGAGAAAAATACCGTGTAAGAGCAAATTCCACACTTGTTTCCACAGTAAGCGATCTTAATGGCTTCTTCAACATAGGGGAAAGTTAGAAAAGAATATGGCAAACCAAGATGATACACAAGACGGCCACATCTAAAAAATAAGACGAATGCAATGTTATTTACCACTGTATTTTCTGTGTTGTGACCCTACTCAGATTAGATTGAGATAAGCTATTATAGGCTTAATGGTCTTAGAAGATAAGACCCTTTCATGTCTTCAATAAATTTCCTTGCATGGGGGTCTAGAGTTGAGTTCCCAGGTACTGTATGCTAGAGTCTAATTTCAGTATTTTGAAATGTTACAAATGTTACTAAAGAATATAAAAAATGTATAAAATAATTATTGTGACTCAGTCAAATACAATTCATAATTGACATATATTCTACCAAAACCTAACCCCAGGAACTTTTTATTTTTTTTTAAACTTATGTGTATGAGTATATTGCCTACATGTATGTAAGTGCCCATGTTATGCAATGCCCACAGAGGTCAGAAGAGAGCATTGGATCCCCTGGAACTGGAGTTATAGATGGTTGTTAGCCACCACGTGGGTGCTGAGAATTGGACCCAGGTTCTCAGCAAGAGCAGCCAGTGCTCTTAACAGCTGAACCATCTCTCCAGCCCCCACTCTTTAAAAAATAATTATTGTCCAGTGTGGTGGCTCACCCCTTTAATCCTAGCACTCTGGGGCCCCACCCCAGCCCCAGGAACTTTCATAACTGCTCAGGCAGCACAAATTCAACAGAACAAAAGTCACAGTATAACAAAAAGATTTCCAAACTTTGTCCAGTAGCTTGTTATTTTCACGTGTGGGAATCAAGCCCAGGGCCTTACATGAGTATGGCCCTAGCACTGAGCTACACCCCCAGCCCTTGATTTTTTGAGATAAGTTCTCACCATGTAGTTTAAACTAGTCTTGAACTCCCTATGGAGTCCAGGCTATCTTGGAATTCATAATCCTCCTGCCCTAATGTCACAAGGAAGGGCTGAAATTATAAACATGTACAACATGCATACGCTGTGCTCAGTAGTTTGTTTATTTACATATGATGTAATAAAAATTTCAGCACAATGAAATAACTAAAATTATAATTTGGCATTCTCAAAGCCAGTAGGATTGAAATGCCCTTCTTACCCATATTTTACCCAGAATATACAGTTTGATATGAGTGCTAAAGTATTATGCCTTATAACTGGGTATATTAGAAGCTTAGAGTCCTGAAAGTATAAAATATAAAGATATTTAATGTGAGACAAAGTAAGGACTCATCCCAGGCAGAGTCATTCTCCCCAGACAGTGAAGAGCTCAAAGAGAATAAGCATCAACCAAGAATCTTTTCATAGCAGATAATATATGCATTGAAACTTCTCTCAAAGCTGAGTGTTTCATCTGGTCATGGATTCAAAAATAAATTTATGCAGCTCATACTTAAACAATGACCATACTTTAGAGTTAGTAAATGCAAGTATGTAGCCATAAAATTATGAATTAGATTAGACATAAGCAAGTGTGGTCTGCAAAGTGTGGTTATTCATCTGAACAATATTTAGAATTATATGTGATATAATGGATCCTTCTCTTTATTAACAAGAATGATAATTTATAGGAGGAAATGTATAGTCAGTTTTCTGTATTTATCTATTGGAATATGGACTCTTACATATATAACTCGAGAAAATCATTTCAAAAATATAGAAACCAAACTCTTTCATTGACTTATTTTAAATCTGGTTGTTGGATAATAAAAGCAAAGACAAATGCCTTAAGTCTTTTAAGTCCTTTACTACTAAATACAAAGCAGGAACACAACAAGTGAGAAAGTTGTTGCAAAAATCTAAAGAAGTAATAGGAAAGTAAGTCGAGATATTGATTATGAAGGCAGCATAGATCAATGGAAGATGTAGAATTTAAAGAATGACCAGAAATGGATGGTGTTAGAAGTCCTTAACTCATGCCTGTCACAGTTTTCTGAAGGGCAGATGGCAGCATGGCTATCACACATGATAGTGTATGATATTCTGCATGGAGCATATTAGATAATACGTGGGGAAGGAAGGCAAGCACTAAGTATTACAGGATTATATCCCCTAGTGCTGGGCTGTCTCTCTCCAAGGAAATTCACATAAAGGTCGAAGTTTAGAAAGGAGTAAATTTTAGAAGAAAATAGCTGTTCCAAATTTGAATCACTGAATTCAATGTTTGTAAATATGTCACTGAAATAGATATTTTGGTCTGGAATTCAGTTATTGCATTTGAGCTTTGTATATATTGCAGTTCACCAGGATATATGTGGTAATTATAATTTTTTTAAAAAATAGATGAGGTTGTTCTTGCAGAATGTTCAGTGGAAAGAGAAGGAAAACAAATGGCCCTGAAGACTACAAACATGTAAACAGGAAGACCACAGGAGGAGAGAGAATGAGGCGGTGGAGGAGGAGGAAGAGCCAGGAAGCTACAGAGAAACCAGCAGGGCAGTGTCATAGGATCGAAAATGAAAGTGCTTCCAAAAGTAAGACATGTTTTCATTTCTAAATTTTAAAGAGAAATCACATGAGATTAAAACTGAAATGTGGCATTCAACAATAAACAAGATTGCTGTTTATGATAAAACAAGTAAACACAAAATAAATATCTTTGGGAGGGGAGAGAGAGACACACCTGTCATATACAAGGAAGTCATCTTTGTTTCCATTTAAGAGAGTCCAGACATCTGTTTGGTTTTCTTCTTGTGGGTAAACAGGAATATGGTCTGACACCTTATTTTTAAGATGAATGTATTTTAATTGGGAAGAGATTCCTTGATGATTAACAACAATGTAAGAAACATTAGAATACCCTTCTTTGTCTAGTTTTATTCGCAGATCGTCCAATCTAAGGGGAAAGCACATAAAATGAACAATCCCATTTAGTTTAATCATTTGTCTGTCTCCACATTTTTTTCTGTGAAACTCATTATTTTTAACTGACCCTAATCTCTTTGTGTGTTGTCATAAGACTGAAGTTTTCACTTTAACAATTATTTAAAACTTGTGCTCAGTTGAAACCTTATGTTAAGTGTTTGCACAAACATGGCTCAAATAGTCTTCAAATTAATGCATATACTCAAGTTCATCTTACAGATACAGAGAATGCTATGCAATGGATATTTGGTGACTAACTCAACAACTATTTTTGATTGATGGCTGCTAAATGATGCAAGACCTTTGATTACAAGTCTAGAGTTCACTCTGTTCTGGTAGCCTTCCTCTGCTCTTATGTTGATGTATTTGCTCCATTTGTAGGACTGAATTTTAGAACATTTTATTCCATAGGTAATCCATATTTAGAAGAAAGTTACAAAATGTATCTATACAAAAAGAGAAAAATGTGATCAGAGCCACCGTACACACACACACACCACACGTTTTTCTGGTCTTATTCTGCAAATACCTTTTTCCAAAGGTGTTATTTAACAATTATGCAGTTTCCATTTTATTGTATCTTATATGTGTATGTATTTGTTTAAAATAGTATTTCCCTAGAAACCCTAAACCACGAAAGGCTACCTTACCTGGACGCCTGCAGCAGGCACAGGTATCAGCTGGCCTGAAGAAGAGCAACCACGGTCACTCTACCCATGGAGTTCAGCATTGGATTTTGATCTTTTATGCTCCAGGCTGGAGGTGGCTTACAAACAGGGCTCTGGTCTTGGCTCTCTGTCCCTCCATAGGGGAGAAGACAGAGAGCCAGGGCAAGCCCCAGGCCTTTCCACATGGCCGAAGCTGTCCTGCAAAACAGAAAATGTTGTCTTCATACATAAGTTCAGTCAGAGCTATCACATCTAGAAGCCCAGCAGGTATAATTCTACTTGTCAGAAACTCCCATCCTGTGAATTCTATCTCCATTTTCTTGTGCTTATTATGCCATTGTAATGAGCCTCCTTGCTCTAAATCTTCCTATAAAAGGGAAGTACCAGCCAGGAGGCAGAATCATTTTATTAGCTGTCTGGTATAACATGCTACTGGAGTAAGCATGCTATGGAAATGTTCCTGATCAGATAGCCGAGCACCTCTCTAGGAGATGATACATATTTAGAAACACGTAGTGTACAGCCACATAACATTCTGCAAACACAATCTGACTTTCATGTGAGATAAACCAAGTTCTGACTGAGTCTTTCTGTCCTCTACAAATCTAAGGAATAAAAGGGTAAATAGGGGACTCTGCACAGAAGTGAAAAGAGCCAGCAGAGAAAGATGTGAGGGGAAAGGGGAACAGCAGAGAAGACAGCAAGCCAGCGTGAATGTGGCTCATTGATGGGTCCTTAGCTCTTCAAGTTCAAGCCTTCCATCTTTAGAGACATCTTGGGTACTGTTTTGCTTCTTCAGCCTTACAGTCTGGTTGCATGTTAATGGAGGGTTTGAACCTCCAGATACAAGACTGCCTGCTGTAACATTACCACCATACCTCATGATAAATATGATCACGGCAGGAAAATCCTGACCATGGAGGAATATTACAAATCAGTGCCCTTTCCTATTTAGGACTCATTAGATCTACTCCAAATTATTCTGTTGGCTAGACTACTTTCAGGAAGCTCCTGGGACTAGTATATTCCTTGGTAAAAAGATGTCCCACTGCCAAAAGTGAAAATACTAAGTACCTATCCAGTTCCAGAGAGTTTTGTTTTGTTTTGTTTTAAGGTGAATTTGGAAAGGTGAAGAAAAATGGACACATTTAGCAGAGATGATAACTAAAACAAACAACGACAGCAACAAAACCAACTAATTCAGATTCAGGCTCATTTTGATGTAAGAATCTGAGAAGTTGGGTGTGGTGGTTCATGCCTGTAATTTCAGCACCTCAGAAGCTAAGGCAGAAAGATCAGTTCAAGGAGAGCATGGCTACACAGTGAGTTCCAGGCCTGTTTGCAAGAATGAAATGGATTGTGTCTCAAAAAAAAAAAAAAAAAAAAAAAAAAGACATTACAGAGGGAGATCAAGACAAATTTTTCAGAGAGGAGTACATTTTTAGGCACTGATCAGAGTAAAAGGAATCAGAAACCTATTGGGGGAAGGGGGTGCAGAATGAGGTTAAGTAACAATAAACTACCTAGAGAGTGTCCAGAATTGAGTGGTAAAGAAAAGATTAAAATTGACTTGACCTAGGCTCTAATGCACTGGTAGGTATAAATTACTCTTGGTTGGCTTCACATTATTCAATGCTTCAAAGTAGAAATTTAGCTGGGTGTGGTGGTGCACACCTATAATCCCAGAATTTTTTAGGCTGAGGTAGGAAGATCTCAAGTTACAGGCCAGCCTGGGCTACACAGATTGTTCCCTCTAAGGAAAAATCTTGGATAAGAGCCTTACTAAAGAAAAAGGGACAGAGGAAAAGAGAGGAAATATAAATGGCTATTAACTTTGCTCCAACTCTTTCCTCTAACCATTTCTTAATTCTAATGTTTAAGAAAGAAAAGACGTTTGGACTAAATCCAGGATGTTCCTTTAGGATGATATTCACAATAACAATACAATTATCTTTACAGCCATCAGTTACTGTAAACCAAAAAGAAATGCTAAGCGTGTTACAAAGGATGTCATGCCTGTTATGCCTCACAGCTATGTGACTGTTGCCCTGTCTCTAGTTGAGGAAACTGTGACCTAGAGAGAGACTTTAAGCATCTTGTCTAGGACCACACAGGTAGTAAGTTACAAGAGAGTAGATTCAAACTAGTTCTGTCAAATCCAAAATATGATCTTAGCTACACTGGAGCACATTGCAATAACTGACAGCCAGTTTTATTTATGCTCTGGGATGACAAGAAAACATCAGAATAGGCTTTTTATGTCTTCATAGAATGTCTAGATTGTTCTTATTTTCTAACCTAAATTCATGTGAGGCCCTGAGTCCAATCCCCAGCACACACAAAAAGTAAAATAAACTTAGTTATAGAGTCTTCAGCTTGTAAGCAGTACTTTATTCTCTGCCATAAGCCATACACTTTCAAATGGCTAAATGACCAGGTAAGTGAAAAGACTATTATTTCTCTCATCTAGAAATTCTGGGGGGAAATCATCTGTTGGCAGAGGATCAATTAAAGAGGGTAGATTCATGCTTCAGGTTTTCCTGCCATTATAATCAATAAGCTGTCCAATTTTGTTTGTTTAAAGTAGTTTTATAGAATACATGTTCCATTGTGATTATAATTGTTGAAGAGCTATATAAAAGAAAGGGGATAAATAACAAAATTGAATGTGCTGCAGACTGAGCCAATAACAATTGGAAAGTAGTTCTAAATTTCACTTTTCAGTGATGGAGCCTCAGCTGTTCATCCACAGAACTGCATTTGATTACACCCCACCTAAAGCAAGATATAGAAATACTTAGTCCATCCTTTCCCTCAGAACTTCACACCAGCACCTGTAAGCCCCTGCCCCTAAGAGCTTCCAAATCCCACTTAAGCATAAAAACTCCCCACAGACTACCTGTGGTCTGGCTTAGACTCCTCTCAGGGTGAGCACTGTGGATGGAGCCTGCTCCCTCCCTGCTTTGTATTCTGAAACTGTCTATCATCGTGCTGGACATTCCACAGTGCAGCAGACCTAGCGTATTTCCGTCTCTGCTCCTCAAATCCATGATCTGTTTTTGGTTTTTTTTTTTCATTTGTTCTCACTCTTACTTTCAGTGGGAAATACTGAAATTTGATCACATACTATTGCCCATATAATAAATTGTCTCCTGCAGAGTGAAACAGCTGGATTTCCCCAGCTTTCCCCAGCACAACTGCAGAACTGTAACCGAAATCAACAAAACACCAGCTGTGCTCCCCAGGAACTTTACCCACATACCACACCCAAAACTCTTGCTCTTTTTTATAAAAACCATTTTACCCACCTTTTTAGTAAGCTTATTGTAAGGGTAATATTATATTTTATCAGTCTCAGAAAACAGTTCCCAAACTCTAAAGGAATCAATTATCAGAAAACACAAAGTCCTACTTACGCAACGCCTTCCCACCAGCCTGCTTCCTTTCTCTTTGCTTGGCTAGGGCAGCTCTACAAAGCCTCAGCGAGAAGCTGACATTTATAGTCCTGTTGTTTACCTCACCCCTCAGCTGCAGTCCAAAGTTCAACACTCTCTCTCTCTCTCTCTCTCTCTCTCTCTCTCTCTCTCTCTCTCACACTCTCCTTCTCTCCCTCTCTCTCTCGCTCTCTCTCTCTCTCTCTCTCTCTCGCAGCGACCTTGCAAGCAAAGGAAGCCCTTTGAACAGATTCATCTGATTACAACCCCAAAGAAAGCAGCAAGTGCAGTCACTGCTTTCAATCACCCCACTAAGATTTAATGGTACAGTCGAGGGCGGGAGGAAGGGCTAAGGGTAGAGACGCTCCAAGTCACGTTCCTTTCCAAACTGTTAACTGGGGAAAACATTTGCTAAGCCAGCAAGTTATGCAGCTGCCTTAAAAGAAGCAACAACAACAAAAAAATTCTTTTCTTCCTTTTCCTTTGTGGTGAAGAAGTTCTAGCCTAAACCCACGTTCTAAGCTTTTTTAGAAAAGTCACCTGCTGTTTTCAAATTATTCTGGCCACTTGCTATTGCAGACTTGTATCTACTGTTTTGCTGTGTTTGAGTGAATTTGAATTGGTATGCAATCTCTCGGGACCTCTGCTCTTTCTCATAAGATAAGGAAATAAGAAAATAGTCTCCAGTCTGAAAGAAATCAAGCTCCATTTTTTAAAAAGTTTATTACTACTGTGTGACTGTGCGCGCGCGTGTGTGCACGCATGTGTGTTTGATATGTGTGTGGATGCACACATGCATAGTGTTAATGCAGAGGTCAGAGGACAGTTTAATGGAGTTAGTTCTCTCCACTTCTATGTGGGTTCCCCTTTATGTAGATTCTAGTCAATTTCTCAGACTTCGGTGGCAAACACTTTACCTACTGAGCCATCTCAAGGACCCCAAGCCTCATTTTTATAGTGGCAGAAGCCCTCCCTGGAAGACCTATATATCCCAATAGAATTGTTTAACTATTACTTAAGCATTATATTTTTATGATATTTATTCTTCAGAATTTCATAGATGTACACAATATATTTTGATCATATCCACCCATTCCTCCCTCCAAATCCTTTCTAGACCCCTCCCCAACACATCCCCCTCCCAACTTCATGTCTTTTTAAAAAAAAAAAATGTTAAGTCCAATTAGTGCTGCTTGTATGTGTGCACAGGTGCGGAGCCATCCCCTGGAACATGGACATCCTACCAGGAGCCACACTCTGAAGAAAAATGACTCTCCCTCCCCCAGTAGCCATCAACTACCAATAGCTCCTCAGCTAGTTAGTGATGGGCCCTCATGTGCCCTCACCTCACCACCACCAACACCCCCCACCCGCCCCATCCATGCAGAAAGTTGACTAGCTTGATCATGTGCAGGTAATCACAGCTGTTGTGAGTTCATGCATGCAATGGCCCTGTCCCGTCCAGAAGGCACTACTTCCCAGCAGTCCTTCCCAAACCTTGTTACAAAATTTCTCCCCACTTTTTTTGTGATGTTCCCTGAACCTCAAGAGAGGGGGTTAATAGATATGCCCATTTAGAGTTTCCACAGTCACTGATTCTCTGGTTGTGAGTCTCCGTGTTGACTACTGCCCATTGCAAAAAGAATGTTCTCTGATGAGGGTAGTGAGCTGCACTAATGTTCCCATACAACTTTTAAAGAATCTAATATGAAATCTTTTTTTTTTTTTTTTGTCTTTTTGAGGATCAAGAAGGAATCTCCATGTAACCCCAGATGACCTGGAACTTACTGTGTAGATCAGGCTGGCCTCAGTCTAACAAAGATCCACCTGCCTTTGCCTCCTGAGTGCTGAGACTAAAGCTGTGCACCACCATGCCCAGCTATCATATGAAATCTTTACAAGGGTAAATATCCTGTAAATAAATACCAGTTGGATATAGGGAAGGTATAGCAATACAAGCAAAAGAAAAGTACACAAGTAAAAGAAAATTCCTACTGTTTCAGAAAGAGGACGATTCTTTCCAGTACCTTGCAACTTGGCACGTTCAAGTGAATTAAGCACAATAAATGCATAGGGTCCCCCACTTCCACCCACTTTCTATATCCTAACTGAAATTCACAGAATGCCTTGACTGTGCTATGTTCCCCTGCCAGCTGCTAGATTTTTCTCTTCAGGCTTGAGGCCAATATGAGGACTTAAATGTTCCAAGGCATAAAGGTATTTAGGTCATTGAATAAAACATTGAAAAAGACTAGCCCCTAGCCCTCATCCAACATTAAGTCCTCTTATAAACCCCTATTCAGACCCCACACTGAGGAAACACCTAGGTAGGACATTGCTTTTTCTCTGTCATGACAAGAATGCTACATCTGCATCACTGACAAATACACTTAGCATGATCACCCTGCTGCTTGGTTTTCTTAAGGTCTGAGGCAGTCTCTTGCCTCTGCTTTCTGAGCGACTCCAGCTGTGGGATCAGTAGGATAGAACACAGTGATACATGATGTCATCCTTGCATGGTGGCAGTTTACAAGCAAGCCTTGTTTCTAGCCAATGCATTTTATACAAACAAACCTCTATTGATTACCATGTGCAAAATATTGCTGTACAAGGTACAGGAAACAGAGTCTCAGCTGTTTTCCTTCCCATAGAGAAACTTTCTATCAAAGTAGAAGGCACTTCGGGCTCCTAATTCTGTTTATTTGCACCATAGAGCCAGTTTGGGGGGTCCCATATCCCTTTTAAAAATCCAAATAAAATAATTTCTCCCAAAAAATGCACATATGCATATTCACTTTTTAAAATAATCTCATAGAAAAATAATAATCTCATGAAAAAAAAATATTTATTGAAGCGGGTAAGTTCCCTTGTATTTTACTTTCTTGTCTGATTTAGTCATTTAGTCTATCTATATCAGGAAAGCAAGCATTTCATGATCTCATCCTTCCTTTGAATATGGCTTAGCAGGTAACTCTCATGCCCAAAAAGATACCTGCCAAGTGTGCAGCTGGCTCCAAGGGAAAATACCCAGCAACCGTGTGCCCAGGTCGGTGCCAAAGGCAGAAGGGGAGCATGACATTTGAAAGGAATTTGTTCTCAGCCTATTTGGTGCTGGGCAGCATGTGACCATTCATTGAGCATCTCAAGAAAGCAGCATTTTCAAGCAAATGTTGATTGGGTGTGTCAAAGTAAAAGCATAGCTCTCACCTCAAAGGGGATAAGACATAGTTTATGCTGGAGCCAAATATGAGTGACCATAGCCCCGGCACACAGATTTAGACTACCCCAAATTCCATGTTCCAGGGTGGTAACGGTTACATTATGTTTTTATAGTAACAGAGCAAAGAAAAGTCATAAATCAAGACACCTTTCAAATACATTGGTGGATTCATTCAGTAGGCAGGTCAGAGCTCGGGGGGGACCTGTTTCTACTATAGGTCTACTGATGACATTCTACTATATTTCTACTATAGATCCTATCTGATGACATTCTTAGCTTTTTGATTGGTGAGAGCTGGTTGTCTGCTAAGCTAATACATTTTATTAGTTACAAGAATGTTAATTCAGAAACAGAGGTAGGCAAGGTGTGGCTATTTGTGGAGTTAAAGAGGTCATCAGATAATTTGTGACTAGGCTCTGGATCTGCAACATTCCGAACTCTCCACAATCACTGAAGTGATAACCAGTTGGTCAGCTCTTCAGGAAATTCAGTCCAAGATGCAGAAGTTCTTTCTTCATAGGTGTTAAATCAAATTACATTAAATCAAATAAATGCTTATTGGCTAAAGATGCACCAAACAATGCTAAGATTTAAAACCTAAAAGTTAAAAAAAAAAAAACCTGTATTCTTTGTTCTCAAGGATCTCAAATTTGAGTAAGCAAGTAAACAGGGGGGAAAAAAGTGCTATTGTATCTCAGATGGTATAAGGACACCATTTTGTAGCTAAGGAGCTCTGAACCTAGAGATAAGGTGGGTATGACGAAGTTAACGTGATGAAGTTTGCATGCATTCAAGCAGGCTCAGCAGACACTGTATCAGAGCTTTTACTCACCACCTACAGAGCACCCAGCAAGCCTGAACTCAGCACTGTCTAGCCTGATTTTAATTGTCTCCACATTTTTTTAATGATTATAATCTCTTAACAGGCTGCTAAGCAATCTGCACATAATCAAATATTAACTTTACTGAGACTTAACTAAATGACTATGAAGTTTAACTTTATCCTAATGATCTCATCAACTTCCAGCCTGGAGTCAGGACTTAGAGCCTTCAGAGTGGATCATTCTATGCCCATTTGTTCCCAGAATGTTTATACATGATTTAGTCCATGTTTTTCATAAGCATTCTCACATTTTATGTCATGGGTGATGTCTATGAAAAAATAGAGCCCAGAAAATCTAAGAGTCCATGATAAAAGAGTTGCAAGGACTAGAAACTGATTTTATAAGCCAGTTATTAGTTAAAATAGCTGATAACATGGCGCTGCTCCACCAATTAATGTGTAAAATATTGATGTCTCAAATATTAGAAAGTGAAAGAAAGGTTTTACTATAAAAAGCACCTATATAAAAATTAACCTCTTTGGTTTAAGTTGTGTTTAGTATGTTAAGGGAAATAGTACTTTCCCAATATTATTGGGAATAGTGCCTTTTGACTCAAAATAGCCTCACAGACTATTGCAGAAGAGGCAGCAGAAAGACTGTAAGAGCCAGGGGTGGTGAACATCTGGGGACACAAACTTGATTCAATAGGCCTCAACTTATATGACAGAATACATAAAATTCAGTGGAGGGCAGACTATCAGGGTTGCAGATAGGAGAAGTGTCTAAACATGATTAAAATGCATGAAATGCACAAAAATTCAACTATGTATATATATATAAAATCACTGAACATAACCAGCAGTGAAACAGTGAAAACTCCATTCCTTTTTTTTAACCTAAGTACTTTAACTTCTTTTAATTACAAAGTGATACAGGGATATATATAATGTTGATCTTCTCTTTCCAAGACACAGAATTTTCCACCATTCATCCAGGTTGTCTGTCATTTGCACTTGGCACATTTTATCTACAAAACCCTTGCACATAAATTTGCATACTATTATACATTTTCCATTCATAAGTTGTTGTTATTCACTGACA